CGAAACAGTCTTGGTTTCCAGACCTTCTGCGCCTATCATGTGCTTGTCCTCTAGTTCTACCTCTGAGACCAGACCTTCTGTCTCAAATCAAGGGCAAGGTTCTTTATCAAAATCCAGAAAAACTTCATCTACACGCCTGGCTTCTCTCAGGGTTAGCCTCAGAAAGAGAGGTTTTTCTGAAGGAGCAACCAAGCATCTCACAAAGTCTGTCAGAGACTCCACTAGCATTGTCTATGATGCAAAATGGTCAATCTTCTCAGATTGGTGTAGTGAGCGGGAAATTGATCCTTTCCAAGTCACTGTACAACAATTAGCAGACTTTCTAGTTTTTCTTTTTGAATCCAAAGGATTATGTCCCTCTACTATTAAGGGATATAGATCAGCTATTTCAAGAACTATTCATATTTCTGGTGGCCCAGATTTTGGAAACAATGAGCATATTTCTCTTTTGGTTCGTAGTTTTAGTCTTGAAAGACCAAGACAAAAAAAACTTTAGTTCCTAAGTGGGACCTTGGACTAGTTTTATCCTTTTTAAAACTTCCTCCTTTTGAACCAGCAGAAACAATAGATTTAAGGTTTCTTTCCTATAAATGCTGTTTTCTTTTAGCTTTGGCTTCTGGACGGAGAAGGAGTGAAATCCATGCCTTCTCTATTTCTGATGCTTGCCTTCGATTTAACAGGGATAAATCTTCTGTTACTCTTTTAACGGATCCTGCTTTTTTGGCAAAGCATACCCAAGAATGAAGGACACTAATGGCCGATTACCCTTATCAGCGACACCCGGGGTGCAATGTTTTTAATGATATTCGATTAACATAGAAAGTAATGGGGAAATAAATGGGTACCCTTAAGTAATTCTTCATATTATTTTTATTAATCATCTGAATTCTTATTAACACATACGACCGAATTCTACATAGATTTACCTTTCTGGTGGTATTAAAAAAACCAGTTTATCTTATCTCATTGTTAGGTCTCCGATTTTTTGAAATTTCATTATCTAAATTCCCTTACTCACATCAGTAAATATCGATGAATTACCTCAAAAGAAACGAGACAGCAGTAACTAAAAAAATTGAAGCACACTTAATATGCGGAGGAAATACTATTAACACATACTGTTGAATACTCCTGTCAATAAGCTATATTTTGATGTCAGAAAAGTCAGTTTAAATTAAGAAGTTCTTAAGTCTCCGGCGTTTTGAAAAGTTGTCTTTGAAAAAAAATAACCAACACAAATGTAACATACGAAAACAACGTACATTAGCGAGATCTTACTGTTATACATGCATGTAAAATAAATTCTGGATATTCTTAAATAAATGAAATAATACATAATAAGTTCAAATTCAAAGTGTTCACTGCCGCTATTTTTTATTGTTCAAATAGAAACGATAAATATTGAATACAAAATAAAATTATATTTAATTATATTAAATTGTATTCGTCGGGATAACTCATCTGTTCAAAGGACATAATGGAGTTTTACTATAAGGGTTCTTGTTCATGATAGTTCATAGTTCGTATAATTTCATATTATAGAGACTATAAAGATATTTTTTATTCATATTTGTTGAAACGTATTTAATGATAAATGATAAAGTATACATTTACATTTAAATAATAATAAACGATTCGCTGTTCAATTATTTTTTCACCCGTAAAACATTTTTCCATCATTTGTATTTCGATAAAATTTAAAGAAAATGAAAAGGTGGTATATTAAAAAAGTTCGAAATTGATATATATTGTCAAATGAATTTTATTATCAGCAGGCACCCTGTCGCTTAATTGTCTTTCCTATCTCCAATTACGATCTCTTATATATGCTCAACAGGATGCCACTGTTTGTTTTATTAAATTCAATCTGATACAATACAACTTGTGTAAATTGGTAACATATGTACATGTTATGTGTAATGAATGTATGCACGGTTTGTTGTGGAAGTATCATCCTGTAATGACATAACATCAATGTGATGGAACTATTAAAACAAATTTGAGAACTCGAAAACTAATGCAAAAAATCTTTCAAATCACTCTTTTTTAGGGAATCGTGTTCCTCGCTCTTTAGTTTGACCATGGAAGTAAATTGATTAGTGTTATCAGAGACACATAATACAATATACAATTGTATTATATGTCTCTGGTGTTATCTATGTAAATATAGTTTAATTTGCTGCTTTTATTTTTTTATTTCTTCTTTTAATTTGTCATTTTCTATATAAATGTTTTTTTAATTACTTAATGGTGCAATACAAAACACATGCAAGTTGTCCCTCGGTCATTTTAGAAATACACTGTTCAAAATGTTCTTGTGTGAAAAAATGTAACGCTTACAACACATTGAATGTTGGTTTCTGTTATAATGATGAATGTGTTGTCATTGTAAATGAATATTAAAAAGCCGATTGCTGAAGACCTGGTGACACGTTTTAATCTTATGCACAGCACAAGAAGCCCTTCTTCGTTGATATGTTGCGGTTTCCTTGTATTTCAAAACACCTTTTGTTTGGTGCATATGCCACGACTCATAAAAACTAACTTATATTTATTAATTTAGTTTTGTCCGACGAATTTGTGTCCCTGATTTTTTTTTAATTTAAATTTTCGATCTTTCTTGCTGTGTTTAAAAAATCTCAAACAAGAAAAATGTTTCCCAAGTTTTTATAATCAATTGTTCATGAACAATGTAAATTGCTTTTTTTAAAGGCGATTTATTTATCAAAGCAAACTATGAATCGCATAAATGATGTTGATTTAGGGACGACATCAAAGGATCAATGTAGGATAAAAAACTTAATTCAAATAGTTTGGGGGTGGGGTAGAAATTGCTGCAAGTTTTGTTTATTTGACATCGATTTTACATATATCTTTATTGGTCAATCAATTTTTCCCAAATTAAGTTTAGAGGGGGTGGGGTCAGTGAAAAAACTATGTGAATTAAGTTTGTTTATCCTACAATGAACTTTTGATGTCGTTCCTTATTGTCCTGTGAATTTTTATCCGTGACTTAATTCAGGCAAATTTTCTACCTTTCTTGCACTGTTGAAAATAAGGCCAGAGGGACATCAGATATAAATACTGTTAGTATTAATAAATCGCACTGATAGCAGTTAGAAAATTTTAGATAAGTGAAAATAAGTTGAAATATGAAAGAAAACTTTCAAATAAGAATTACTCCTAAACACACATAAAAAGGGAGACCCACTATAAAAGCGCTTGCGACCTAACTCGCTTCATGATGATGTCTTTAGTGATAAATCTTTTCACTTATCAATCAGAGAGCGGAGCTCTACTTATCAATATCAATAAAAATCTTTTTTAACTGTTGAATGACTTATTCTTCAATTATTTAGTCTTCGAATTTATATCTTTAATTTTCACCAATTTTCTAAATTTGATTTATTGAACCTTTTTGTCTACTTACGCCTTACCTAACTAAAGATGGTTGAGATATGTTTAGCCGTTTTTACATAAAGCATTTAAAAAATGAAAAACATCTAGCTGGTAAGTTATTTCTTCAAAGACATATATAGCATCATTTTAAAGCAAACTTATTTGTCCAAGGCATAAATGAATGATTGTACTGAAATGAATATATATATAGCCTATTAGAAAGCTGGACAAACTGGATAACCTCCTAGATGGTATTTTTTAAGATATATGAACATCAAAACTCATGAGATACGTTTTATAACTGTTTGTTAAAAAATGTCATTCAAGATCAATTAACAAAAATTATGGATTTTTTCCCTAATTTTTCAAAATAATTTTCCCTTCGTACATTGATTTATAATCTCGATGCGGTTTTGATCTCAATATCATAGTCCTTTTAAAGACCACTAACTCAAGTATCGTTATTTATAACTCCCGTGAAGACGCTAATTAATTTTTATCAGAGACATGTCTCTGTTGTATTTAACAAGATTAGTAAATGCAACGACATCTATTGGAAGGAGTTAAGAGTTATCGTTACTGATTATCTACTGTCCAATATAAACAGATTGGGTTATCTCGCTTGGAAATGTGACATATTCTTGCACATGAATCAGATTCCAGATAAGGGTGCAGAACCAGTCGTGATTCCTGCACTCCCTAGCGATTCTATTTCTGTACTTTTATGTCCAGTAAGAATCCTTTCTATTTATCTGGATAGAACGAGTAGTTTACGTTCTGTTTCTAACTCAAGACTCTTTATTCCTATTAAAAAAGGAATCTCAGATCTTTCTGTTAAAACTATTTCTACTTGGATATGCAAATGCATATCTTTAGCTTATGGTTCTTCTAAGGCAGAACTTTTAAATAGTTTTAATGTTAAAGCTCATGATGTTAGGGGTATCTCTACATCCTGGGCTCTGTTTAACAGTGCATCTTTAGAAGAGGTACTGTCTGCAGGTTTCTGGAGAAATGAGAACTCTTTTATATCTCATTACCTCCAATCTATGGCTACTTTTGCCGACAGTTTATACTCTCTTGGACCTATAGTTTCAGCACAAAGATTGAACTTTCCTCCTGTTTCTTCTGTTACAGGGGATTCAGCTTTACGTTAGATTCTGTTACTCAGAATTTATGATGGTAACGTATTTATAGCTATAAAATATTCAAATTTTAAAGTAAATTTGGATTTTATTAGATAAATACTTACCATCATAAATTATAGGTCCCACCCACCTCCCCTTCATCCCCTTTCCTTACGTTGTTGTCTTGAGGAAATTGAATGGGAGAATATGGGCAAACAGGGGTATATGTCCGGACCAGTGAGAGTACGTTTATTTTTAGTCGGGATTTTCCATCTGACCTATGACGCAATTGGGGTTACACTCAGAATTTATGATGGTAAGTATTTATCTAATAAAATCCAAATTTACTTTAAAATTTGAATAATTCATTCAAATAGGCAAAGTGGCAGGTGTCTCGTGTCATTTCTGAGTGTACGGATATAATTCTTCTCCAGTCCGAATACAACAGAAAGTAAAAGCTTTTCGGGGTCACCACGTTGTTTTTATTTTTTCGCGGAAAATTGGAAATTATTTGCTCGAAAAGTTCTGCACATATAAAGAAAAATAATGGACCTTACTGATCGAAAAACCGCTGAAAAGTTTATGGGAGAGTACCTACAGTTTGCAGAGAAGATGAGACCCGATATAGCAATGATAGAAGTAGGCTTACATGTCATAGTAATCATAACTATTTGGACTAGCCTCTTTAGCTAGTCCAAATAATTATGACGTCTTGAAAGGCTAATTTAATTTTTTTCTGTAACGCCTTCACTTTAGCATGTTAGAGCCTTCTTCTACTAGGAGTCCGAGACCATGTAGAGCTATAGTTACCTAACCTTAATCATAAACCTTACCCTCACCAAACCCTAACCCTTACCATGGTGCTATCAAAAAATCCTTGGGGAGCATACTGTTTATATTGTAACCAGAAAGCATGACTTAGTCCAAATAATTATGACGTCTTGGAAGGCTATTTTAATTTTTTGCTTTGACGCCTTAATTCCTGCGACGTCAATGTAAGGCGTCAAAGAAAAAAAATATAATAGCCTTTCAAGACGTCATAATTATTTGGACTTATCATGACTAGTCTCCCATAATTACTAAATGTTTCAAACTCCTGACACATGGCACAATAAGTCATTGCTCTACCAACTGAGCTAATTTGGAGAACTCCACTAGCAAAGGGGTCCGACGACTTACAGAAAAGAACCAAAAAGAACCGAAAAGGAAATCGATTTTTTTGTAATCGAAGGAAATTTGCAAATTGAAAATCACTTAAGGTTCATGTGGACCCTTTGGCTAAAATGGCTGCGTTTTTACCTCAAAATTTACTCTGAGTACAGACAAACCTGTGCATCTGGAAAAGTTTTAAGGCATAGCATGCCCTAGGTAAATAAAATTCAAATGCATTGTATGTTTTAGAAAATTTAAAACTTAACTGGATTTTGCAGTGCACTTTTTTTCGTCCCTGCAGAAGATGATAAAATTAACAAACAGTTGAGTTTCACTTGATATGGTCCACTCAGGTACACAGTTTAAATCACCAATTATTGTCAGGTATCTATTGTCCATCTATTGTCCATGTCAATCAATACAGTTCACTTCAATTAAAACCTGTGGGGAAGTTCTCAAACCTCTTTCACAACTTATTTTATTTTGCCAACTTCTGGAGGAACAAAAAAAGGGCACTGCGAAATCCTGTTAAGTTTTTAATTTTCTAAAACATAAAATATATTTGAATTTTATTTATCTAGGGCATGCTATGCCTTAAAACTTTTCCAGATACACAGGTTTGTCTGTACTCAGAGTAAATTTTGAGGTGAAAATGCAGCCATTTTAGTCGAAGGGTCCACATGAACCTTAAAACCTTATACTGTGACAGGAATAATTTAAACTTGCATGTGAAAAATTACAGGTAGGGTCGGATGCCTATCTTATAGAATAGAAAAAAAGAAAAGAACATTTTTATTCACCAAATAGGGGCCGCTAGAAGGGCATATAGCATACAAACAATAATATCAAAAACAATAACATATACAATACACTGACAATAGATATGTAACATGAGTAATAATAATAAAGGAAACACACACTGTGCTGAGAAATATATATATATATACACATATAATTACATTGAATTACGCACAGTTTGTTTTTTTAGTTCATGAACTTCAAAAGATATTTTATGACGACATTATAAGCCAAAAATAAAAAGTTCACCTAAGTCCGGTCCTTGTAAAACAACACCATTTAAGATAAAAATTTTAAAAATCTGGAGGCTAGTGAGACGACTTAATTTGTTTAAAATTGGTATGGACGAATACTGTTATATCTAATGCAGGGCAAGCTCATGTTGATTTTTCAGAAAATATATTGATTTTCGAGTTTCAGTTAATTTCATGTATCTAGGTGAACAAATATCGAAGGTACAATACAGAAATTGGACAAATATGCCATTAAAACATATGTATGTGACAAATCAACATGAGCTTGCCCTGCATTACATGTAACAGTATTCGTCCATACCAATTTTGAACAAATTAAGTCGTCTCGCAGGCCTCCAGATTTTTTTGAAAATTTAGTGTTCACCCCAAGAACCGGTTTGGCCACAACATAACAATTTCAAGTTTATTTACAATTTACACAGTGTGTATATGTTAAGTATGTTTAAATGAACATATGTTCTCATAGTTTAGGACTTTACTCATTATAGGTTGAAAAATACAGGCAAAGTTTAGATGTTTATGAAGTGTCCTATATTTTGACTTTAGTGGAACCTTAACAATAAAGTTGGTCAACAGTATGTATTTTCAGGTATAATAACTTCTTTGATATTGATTTACTTCATGCGTTGCTGTTTTACCGTAGTTGTCCTATCATCCAGTTTCCCTTTCCCCTGACCTTTGTTCTTTCCTCTGGCCCTAGCTTCATTGACCACTCGTCTGCCATCTGTTGACTGAACCAATTTGGTCTTAATCCGGTATCAGTGGAACCGGGAAAAATATCTGTACCGTTCCATTAAAGTTTTGTTTGCCCATACATGCCTGGCAATCTTAAAATGTTCCTGTGTGCTCGCAAGCGTATAAGGTCCTCTCCCTATCACTGCTCTCCGTAAATCTTTATAATTAGCCTCTACCAAGTCTGTCATCTTTATCACGAAGTCAACTAATGACTGAGGCTTCCAATCGACAGCTATCTTAAGAACATGATTGTAAGATTCACTATTGTTGTTAGTCCACTCTCTTTCAATTCTTCCCGCATTTTGCGGCTCATATATTTTCCCTCTGAGTACTGGCTTCAAAACCGTTGAAGAGTAGCCCTTCAATGATGGAAATTTCTCCTTACAGAATTCTTCAACTTCTCCACACTTTTCTTCAAAAACGGCACTATCGTTGGCATTAGATATACCATTTCTTCCAAAAATGCGTTGCTCGATATCTATTCTGTCCTTTCTATGCATCCCAACTCCATTTTTCATCTTTTCTGAAAGGTTTAGTTTCAAATGCCGGGTACATAATACACGAGTTGCCTCTGGAAAACTTTTTACAATTGCTTTAACTAAAGATCCTTCTTGATTGGAACCAATGACCAATTCCGAGGTGTCCACATCCGCGAGTTTGGTCTTAAGATGCGAGAAAAAAATACTATATGTATCAAAATGGGAACAGTCGTGTAAAAACATGGGTCTGACAAACAAAGGGGGTTCTCCTGTTTCAACCTTCGTGGCAGAAAGTTGTTTGAAAACAGATGGTGTCACATGAATGTCATGCACAAATGTTAAATGTTTTTTCGAAACCCAAAAGAGTTTGTCCACTACAGCACACGTTCATAACATCCTTCATCATTTCTTCCGTATACAGGATAACGCACACATCACTTACTAGTAAACGATACTTTTTGTGCTACTAGTATTTAAAATTGAAGAAGATATTCGCTTGGTGAACAACTGCATAGCTAGAAATTGTATTTTATTAGGGTGTAAAAGCGTTACCGAAGCACATTTTGCTCCAAGCTTCATGCTAAAAATGAGGATTGGATCAACGCTTTTACAGCCATATAAGATTACAATAAATGGAGAATGTGTCCATAGGGACACAGATGATGCCCCGCTAGCTAGAGAAATACAATTTGATATTACAATGTCATTTATCATATTGAATAAGTAGTTATATCATACCTTTCATTGTTGTATGTAGCATCATTACTGTCGACAGTATCACTGTTTTTGTTGTGCTATTGGCTGCTTTTGTCTCTGTTGTGGTGGTCACTACTTTTATCATTTTTTTTTTTGTGGTCTTGGTTAGTGCCTTCTTTGTTGTATTTGTTACTTTTTGCATTGCTTTGGTTTCTTGTATGGTCCTGATCACTACCATGACTACTGTTGTCCAGATCCACGAACTGTGAAGACGGTGTATGTAATCTCAAAAGAGGTACAAAGTGGTTTGGATCAAGCACTGCGAATGGATGTGGTCTTACTTTCATAAAAATTGAAACTAAACAAGAATATCGTAAAGTTTGGCAAGGTTTACATGTAGCAGGAATTGAAATTTTTGTCCAATATTTTTATAATTCCAATTTCTAAAAAAAAAAAGGAAATGACACTGTGATTTTCAAAAATATTTAAATGCCTTAATCTGATACAGGGAAATCTAATGTCTTATAGTGGAAAATCAACTGAGGACATCGCGTCGTCTAAAGCCCGATTATAATTTATCTTTACTATGTCACCTTCTTCGGACCTTAGTATACTATATAAATATTTACCTTAACAAGGACTGTTGGCAGTCAAAACTTTCCTGATCAAAACAGCAAAATTTGCAGTAAAATTTTAGTCCTCGCGTTGCCCATTGTTTTGTTAATTCTGATGACATTCCTTTGCCGACACAGCCACTGTGCACCCATTTTCCACAACCAAAGCAGAGGATGGATTCTGTACATTCACAATCCTTACTACAGATACAGCAGGGGTACTGTTTTCGATATCGAGATTTACAACTACATTCTCTCACCATTTTTTGTAATTTTCAAAACAAGTGAGGAAACAAGCCTTTTCATTTTTCTTAAAGTGACGATTATCGTTATAAAATCATGTGTCACTGTGGCACCTTAACAAATGTATTTGACATTTAACATCCGAGAGGAAATGGTGATGCTGACATGTATATTTTTTATATTACCATACCCAATGCCACCTGGCAATATGCTGAAATCTTGATATAAACAAACGAAATTATTTTTTTAGGATAAACATTTATAGTAAGAGAATATTTGCTTTTTATTTATTTTTACCGTGTATTATTAAAAAAATGCAATATGCTTATTAAAACGTTTAAACCCGCTGCATTTATTTGCACCTATCCTAAGTCAGGAACCTGATGTTCAGTGCATGGTTGTCGTTTGTTGATGTGGTTTGTGTTTGTGGTTCATAAGTGTTTCTTGTTTCTCGTTTTTTATATAGATTAGACCATTGGTTTTCCCGTTTGAATGGTTTTACACTAGTCATTTTTGGAGGCCCTTTATAGCTTGCTGTTTGGCATGTTTGGTGTGAGCCAATGCTCCCTGTTGAAGACTGTACTTTGACCTATATTGGTTTACTTTTCGTGACAAATTATGACTTGGATGGAGAGTTGTCACATCTTCTTATATCTATATAAACAAATATTTAAATGATAAGATTAAAATCCTTGATGAAAAATAAATGATAATTAAACATACATATATTAAAAAAATATTACTAAAAAACCAAGTTATATTGTTTCTTTTTTGTAAGTTCAAATATCCCTATAAATGTACAATCTAAATTTGAATTATGCATTCATTTATTACGAAGAATTGTTAACAATATAAAAAATCCTTGTGAATATTGTTTTAACTTTTTATAATAAACATGTGTATGTTTCTTTTCTGTAAATCGTCGCTCTTTTCTGTAAATCGTTGGACCGCTAGCAAAGCTAATACAGAACAATTATATATATACATGTACATGTGTTTACATTTGAACCCTTGTCCAACTGACAGATGTACAGGTAAATCACAGCTGATAATTAATGCTTGGCCTTGCTAGTTACTGATTAGATGACAGGATATCAGAACTTGTCTTTACAGTAATTACTATTTGTGTCATTTTATTTCCTGAAAAGTGTGAGGGAAAACTGTCTGGCCAAAATGATGGGCTAAACCTCTGTTTTCTTTCTTGATCACATGAAATGTTTTGCAGGTTCTTTTCAGTGTCAACTATATCCAGACATTTATTGAAGGACATGGATTTGTCCAGCAAAGGATGTCATGGACAAGATGGATATGGATTTGTCCAGCAAATGAAGTTAATGTTTTGGAACATTTTTTCTCAGTCCTTGGAGTACACAATTTATGCTCAAAACACCAAATCAGGTTGAATTTTGAGTCAAATAACGATAATTGTACTTTAAAGTTTTATGACCGCAAGGCCTGGTCAATAAGCATGATAAACAAACAAAGAAATTAAAACAGCATTAAGCATGTTAAGACAAAAGTCTTTTTTTTTTATTTGCAGGATCCAGAGAAAAGAGAAGATGAACTTTGCAAGTGGTTGGAAGGAATGGAGGAACCAGAAAAACTGTTGTTTGATTTCTTTGAGACCAACCCAATGAGTGTCAATGGTAATCAATCATCATTGAAATTATAGATGTCTTAAATATTATTTATAGTAGTATAAAAATCATATAAGACTATTTCCAAATACTTTGATACAGCCATGTTCGAAAAACTAATAAGTAAAGTTCTGCATTTTCTTAATTTTGTCATCCATGTCATCTGGCAGCTAATAGCAGTTTATAAGTTAACTTGTTTTGTCATAATACAATACTGTAATCGGGCTTGTATAGTTCGCACTGGTACATTGTCCGCACCCCCCTTTCTCGCCACGAAATTTCAGGTAAAAAACCTTTTGAAACTGTTACCATGGTTACAAAATGTCTAATGAAACTTTGGTAATTTCAAATTGTTCGTGGTCGTGTGTGGTATTTTCATGCAAAATAAAATTGAGAATGGAAATGGGGAACGTGTCAAAGAGACAACAACCCGACCATAGAGCAGACAACAGCCGAAGGCCACCAATGGGTCTTCAATGCAGCGAGAAACTCCCGCACCTGGAGGTGTCCTTCAGCTGGCCCCTAAACAAATATGTATACTAGTTCAGTGATAATGGACGTCAAACTAAACTCCAAATTATACACAAGAAACTAAAATTAAAAATGATACAAGACTAACAAAGGCCAGAGGCTCCTGACTTGGGACAGGCGCAAAAATGCGGCGGGGTTAAACATGTTTTTTGAGATCTCAACCCTCCCCCTATACCTCTAGCCAATGTAGAAAAAACAAACGTACAACAGTACGCACAGTAAAACTCAGTTTAAGAGAAGTCCGAATTTGATGTCAGAATAGGAAACAAAAGAAAATAAACAAAATGACAATAATACATAAATAACAACAGACTACTAGCAGTTACTGACATGCCAGCTCCAGACCTCAATTAAACTGATTGAAAGATTATGTCTTCATCATATGAATATCAGGCACAATCCCTCCTGTTAGGGGTTTAGTATTATACCATCATAAAATATATGAGAAAAACATAACCCATGTCATGCCAGCAACTGGTTTTAGAATAAATATGTTTAATTCCAATGCAAAGACCCTATATAAGTGAATCAATATTAAAGCCAAAATATGCAATCTTTAATGACCTGACAACAGTATCGTAACTATATCCCTTCTTAATAAGTCTGTTTAAAGGTTTTGTTAGCTTTTGAGGTGAATACTGACATTTTTGTGCTTTGTAAAGAATATTACCATAAAAGATTGGATGTGAAATACCCGAACGTATAAGATGTCTGCATATTGAGTTATATTTACGAATGATGTCCTTATACCGATGATAAAATTTAGTAAATGTTTTGACTAGTTTATGATATCGAAAACCCTGGTGTAATAATTTTTCAGTAAAACATAAATTTCTCTCGCTAAAATCTAATACGTTGTTACATACAATGTACACGAACGAATCGTACAAGTTGAGATATATAAACACCATAAGATGGTGACAAGGGAACGTCACCATCTAAAAATGGATAATTAACAATAGGAAATGAAAAATCATCTCTTTTATCATGAATTTTTGTATTAAGCTTCCCGTTAATGATATAGATATCAAGATCAAGGAAAGGACAGTGGTCATTGTTAGTATCAGCTTTATTTAAAGTAAGTTCAACAGGATAAATTTCTTTAGTATACATACTGAAGTCGTCATTATTGAGAGCCAATATATCATCCAAATATCTAAAAGTATTGTTAAATTTTTGTATCAGATGTTGTTTCGATGGGTCTTTGCTGATTTTAGTCATAAATTGTAACTCATAACAATACAAAAACAGGTCTGCAATAAGTGGTGCACAGTTAGTCCCCATTGGAATTCCGATAACTTGAATAACCTGTTTTCCATCATCAAATAGAAGTTGAAACTGCTTGTAAATGATTCTAGAACACTTCACGAGTGTTAAAATAAGTCAAAATCACACAAAAAACAATTTAGAAACTTATGTATGTTTAAACCGGAAGTTTGAATAACATGTGTAAAAAAAAATAAATACTGTGAGAGTGTACGGAAAATCCGTACTTACATGATATCAAAAGAATACGACTTTGAAAGTAAAACAGTTCTGTCCTAGTGTAAAACAATGTTTAATATATCTATCACATTAATGTTTGAAGGATCTTAAGCTAAAACAAAACACATTCGTCAGTATGAAACACCAAAACAACGAATAACCCATTACGTTTTGTAAAATTGAGAATGGAAATGGGGAATGTGTCAAAGAGACAACAACCCGACCATAGAACAGACAACAGCAGAAGGTCACCAACAGGTCTTCAATGCAGTGAGAAATTCCCGCACCCGGAGTAGTTTATACATCGTAAACTGGTTCTTGTTTGACTTTTATACTTTTTTAGTTCCATTAAATTCAAGCAGATTCCAGTTTATTTTAAGCAATGCAGTGAAAAGAAACGAGAAATTTGTAGTTAAGCATTTAGTTTTTAAATTTATCAGTATATATAATAGTTGATATTGAATAAAAATAACATATTAATATGGATTAGGTAAAGTTATTAGTTTTGAAAATGATGAGCACCCTCTACAATATCAATAACAAACATGGCTAAACGTAAACAAACCACCTCATGAAATCAAATTTTTTCTCTTATTTATTGCTTATCGTACTCTATTGTCGCACCCCTGTCTGGCAAGTTAAAATTTTGAGAATAAAACCGCAGACTATACAAGCTTTTATTCGGTATATGTTAACAGAAAAATTTTCTTCCTCTTTAAAATGAATCTGCTACAAGCAGAGTTATCACAAACATGTTGGGCATTATTAACTGGTGGGTATGGAATGATTGTGATATGTACATATATATAAATTTAAAGATGTGGTATGATTGCCAATGAGACAACTCTCCACAAGAGACCAAATGACACAGAAATAAGCAACTATATGGCCTTCAACAATGAGTAAAACCCATACCGCATAGTCAGCTATTAAACGCCCCGAAAAGACAAATGTAAAACAATTCAAACAAGAAAACCAATGGCCTGATTTATGTACAGAATAATGAAGGAAAAAACAAATATGATATACAGCAACAAACTATAACTACTGAACTACAGGTTCCTGACATGTCTGTCTGCTAGGGTACATCTGACCTTCATATATAGATTATATATTTATATAGATTAGACCGTTGGTTTTCCTGTTTGAATTGTTTTACACTTGTCTTTTTGGGGCCCTTTATGGCTTGCTGTTCGGTGTGAGCCAAGGCTCTGTGTTGAAGGTTGTACTTTGCCTTATAATTATTTACTTTTTACACATTGTGACTTGGATGAATATATGTCTCATTGGCACTCATATCACATCTTCTTATTTATGTTGACTTCATTTTCATGGTTCTTGTTAAATTTACATGATATCAATAAAAGAACTTTTATGTATTATTCAATCATGATGAGAAAAACAGGTGTGACATTTCAACGTATGCACTCTTGTTTCAAATAGCTACATGTAAAGTATATGTAAAGTGCACATTAAAATGTGTGAAAATTGATTATTTTTTTAAGTCTCCCTACTAATTTCCGCGCTCGACTAATACCCTCTTTTTATTTCTTTTTATGTCAGATGTTAGTTATAGTTTAGTGGAGTTAAAATTACAAAATCGTACTTCTACCAACTTATACTTCTACCAACTCGTACCCAATATTTTACTTTTTAAACGTATTAAAGTTTTTATGTTCTTGTATATAATATACATTATGTGCATAATAACAGTGCAACTTTATTGATTGGCAATCTGATGCAGTTTGTTTTCAAATCAGAAATATCTAAAGGAAATTATCCTTTTAGGCCTTGCACGATAGACTAGGATTTCAATTCCTTTTTAGCTCACCGTTCCAAAGGAACAGTGAGCTTTAGCCATCACTTGGCGTCCGTCGTCGTCGTTGTCATCCGTCTGGTGTAAACTATTTCAAACATCTTCTCCTGTGAAACTACTGAACCAATTCCAACCAAACTTAAGCTGAATGATCCTTAGGGTATCTAGAATAAAGTTTGTATTTGATTTTCTGTTTCGTCATAAACATGGCCACCATGGCTAAAAATAGAACATAGGGGTAAAATGCAGTTTTTGGCTTATATCTAAAAATCCAAAGGAGTTAAAACAAATCTGACGGGGGTAAAAGTGTTCATTAGGTGAAGTTCTTCAGCCAGACATGGGGTAATTGAAATATGTAATTGTAATTGACCGTATTTAATTACAATTTCTCAAGTAATTGAATGTAATGTGTAATTGAGCATTTTTTCAGTTACAAGTAATTGAAAGTAATGAATTACATAGCCAAAATTGTCTGTAATTGACAATTACTTTTCAATTACAACTCAATTACATTTGAAATTTTGGATCAGAAAGATTGAATCTTGTGTTTTCCAAAAAATGATTAAAAGCCATGACCTTAGTAAATGTAGTTAGCTGACAAAGCAAAGCCTACACAGTATACTTTCTGTAATTACACAACCATGGGAGATTCTTTATTTTGTATTGAAAGAACAAAAACAAAAAACAAAAGATTGTAGAAACATGCCATAATTTGTGCTTAAAAGAAACCATTAGTAAGTCACTGTCTTATACCTTAATTAGCTTGTTACCTACATGTATATTCAGATAGATATTGTTAGATATTGATTTAACATAATCAATTTTAAAGGACATTGTCTGTCAATAAATATAACCTCTGGCTATTTGTTTTATTATAAATATATAATGACTGTTTTTACAACAGTTATGTTTGCATGTTAAACCAATTAGAGAGATAGAAATATACCCCATGGTACATGATTTTTTTTTAAATCAATTAATTGTGATTAAAACTAAAGTATATTTTAAAAAAAGTCAGGCTTTCTACATCATTACTTTAAAAAATAATTTTAATAAGTTGTGAACAATATTAAAATTAGGGCTCTCATTTTGTTTTATTTTCAATGAAATAAATTAAAATATAAAATTTCAATAGGTAATTCAAACAAAATTTAATAGTTTTAAAATATTGAATAAGGCTTTTTTTTATCATTTTGAGCATTAAATTAAACCAGACCTCTAGTATTAACGATTCCTGATAGACAAAGTATTATGTGAACTTCAGATTTATGTATGTTTTTTTCTTTATTCCTGTAAAACACCAGCTATCTAATTTTTACTCTTCTTTGATACTGGCTGAATTTGAAAATAGTCGTTGTAGATCTCATTTGTTATTACTATAAAGCAATGTATGATACTTATGTACATATCATAGAATAAATGCACATTTTCAATATTTTATCTAAATTTTCCTTTCAAAAGTAATTGAAGTAATTAATTACATTTGCCAAGTAATTGGAAAGTAATTAATTACATTGGCAAAAAAAGTCAAATGTAATGTGTAATTTAATTGAAGATCTTGTAATTGTAATTGAATGTAATTAATTACTTCCAAAAGTAATTGACCCCATGCATATGTCTGCTATCAGCCCTGAAATTTTCAGATGAATCTAATAACCCATTGTTGGGTTGCTGCCACTAAATTGGTAATTTTAAGGAAATTTTGCAGTTTTTAGCTCACCTGGCCCAAAGGGCCAAGTGAGCTTTTCTCATCACTTGGCGTCCGTCGTCCGTCGTCGTCGTCCATCGTTGTTAACTTTTACAAAAATCTTCTCCTCTGAAACTACTTGGCCAAACTAAACCAAACTTGGCCACAATCATCATTTGGATATCTAGTTTAAAAAATGTGTCCAGTGACCCGGCCAACCAACCAAGATGGCCGCCATGGCTAAAAATAGAACATAGGGGTAAAATGTAGATTTTGGCTTATATCTCTGAAACCAAAGCATTTAGAGCAAATCTGACATGTGGTAAAATTGTTTATCAGGTCAAGATCTATCTGCCATGAAATTTTCAGATGAATGGCTCAACCCGTTGTTGGGTTGCTGCCCCTGAATTGGTAATTTTAAGGAAATTTTGCCGTTTTTGGTTATTATCTTGAATATGATAATAGATAGAGATAAACTGTAAACAGCAATAATGTTCAGCAAAGTAAGATCTACAAATAAGTCAACTTGACCAAAATGGTCAGTTAACCCCTACAAATGGAAGTTTTTAACGACCTTGACTGGCTATACAGCCCTTGCACGGTCGGTGTTAACCCCTAAAGGAGTTATTGCCCTTTATAGTCAATTTTTAACCATTTTTCGTAAATTTTGGTAATCTTTTACAAAAATCTTCTCCTCTGAAACTACTAAGACAAATTTAACCAAACTTGTCCACAATCATCATTAGGGTATCTAGTTTAAAAAATGTGTCCGATGACCCCGCCTGCGAACCAAGATGGCTGACATGGCTAAAAAATAGTACATAGGGTAAAATGCAGTTTTTGGCTCATATCTCTGAAACCAAAGCATTTATAGCAAATCTGACGGGATAAAATTGTTCATTATGTCAAGATCTATCTGCCCTGAAATTTTCAGACCAATCAGGCAACACGCTGTTGGGTTGCTGCCCCTGAATTGGTAATTTTAAGAAAATTTTGCAGCTTTTGGTTATTATCTTGAATATTATTATAGATAGAGATAAACTGTAAACAGCAATAATGTACAGCAAAGTAAGATCTACAAATAAGTCAACATGACCAAAATTGTCAATTGACCCCTTAAGGAGTTATTGCCCTTTATAGTCAATTTTTTACAATTTTCATAAATTTTGTAAATTTTTGTAAATTTTTACAAAATATTTTCCACTGTAACTACTGGGCCAAGTGTATTATAGATAGAGATAAATGTAAGCAGCAAGAATGTTTAGTAAAGTAAGATCTACAAACACATCACCATCACCAAAACACAATTTTGTCATGAATCCATCTGTGTCCTTTGTTTAATATGCACATAGACCAAGGTGAGCGACACAGGCTCTTTAGAGCCTCTAGTTGGTTATTATCTTGAATGTTATTAATGATAAAAATAAACTGTAAACAGCAAATATATTCAGCAAAGTAAGATCTACAAATAAGTTTATATGTCTAAAATTGTCAATTGACCCCTTAAGGAGTATTGCCCTTTGAGGACAATTTTACACAATTTGTTTATCATGTTTTCTAACTTTAAAAAATCTTCTCCTCTGAAACTATTGAACCAATTCCAACCAAACTTGAGCTGAATGATCCTTAGGGTATCTAGAATAAAGATTGTGTTTTATTTTCTGTTTCGTCAAAAAACATGGCCGCCATGGCTAAAATTAGAAAATAGGGGTAAAATGCAGTTTTTGGCTTATATCTCAAACACTTAAGCAATTAGAGCATATCTGATGAGAGGTTAAAATGTTCATTAGGCCAAGTTCTATCAGCCATGAAATTTTCAGATGAATCTAACAGTCCATTGTTGGGTTGCTGCCACTAAATTGGTAATTTTAAGGAATTTTGCAGTTTTTGGTTATTATCTTGAATATTATTAATGATAAAGATAAACTGTGAACAGCAAAAATGTTCAGCAAAGTAAGATCTACAAATAAGTTAATATGACCAAAATTGTCAAATGTGTCCTTAAGGAGTTATTGTTTTTTTTTGTGTAGCAAAAAGAGAAGAAGGTATGCCAATTGAACCAAACACATCACCAGTCTGACCATGAATTTGGTCCAATTTGAAAAGTCTCCTTCTTGCTCTAAATAAAGGCAACAGTAGTATACCGCTGTTCAATAGTCATAAATCGATACATTGACTTAACAATTTTTTGCTGGAGGAAGAGATCCCACATTGATGCTATGAAAAATCGACACATTTGTACATGTATTATATCTGTAATGTATGTTTACAATAAAATAAGATCAGAAAATTAGTATATTGATAAATGTATTGTTAAGATTGCAGGTCAAACAGCCTGGGGAATGTCATTTTGATTGTCAGAGGCAGGGCTGTTTCTCATTATTCTTATGGCTGTATAATTTACTAAATAAGCCACAGACAAGTTTTACATGAAAGTAGCTATATACAAAATAGATAAGAAGATGTGGTATGATTGCCCATTAGACAGCTCTCCACCAGAAACTAAATGAGATATAGAAGTTAACAACTAAAATATGTTTACTTTAATTAATACGTACAAATGTAGCTTTATATATATATATATATATATATAGCATTCAATTCTGCAGTTAATGAAATTTTTTAAAACATGACATAAAAATCAATTTGGCTTCAGATTTTAATTTTCCATACAGTTTATTGGTATGCAGTGCATTTTCAAACACATACTAAATGTGGATTAAAAATATGAGTCTAATTAAAACCTTTGATATATTTTTTTCAGATTGGACAACAAAACGAAAAGAGAATGAACAGAATGCATTGACCAAAATTGATGAAGTAAAAAAATTACCAGTTCAAGATACAATCTGGATGATTGATGAATATACATCTCTGAAGGGTAATTAGTTCTTTTAAAATTCCTCCTATAGTAGTTTTAGTGTATACATCTCTGAAAGGTAAATAGTTCTGAAATCCATTCTATAGTATCTATGGTGTATTGGTACGTCCATTTCTTTGTCTGTCCACACCTTTTTGTACAGCTCTTCCAAAACTTTCTGACCTAATTTCAATGCAACTCAAGAAATTTTTAATGAAGTTAGAAAAAGAAATTTGGAACCAGCACCAAGGCAACACATTTTATTATGATTCCTGCTTTGCCAAAAAATTATTCAAAAACAGCTGTTTGTGTCAAATTTGTAATTAAATTGACAGTAATTGAGTGAATAAGTTCACAAAACATTTGAAATTACAAAAGTCCCATTGTCCATGCTCAAATTACCAGATGTTGTGTAAATTGGAATTGGACTCGGAGAAAAAGGGTTGTTTTTCTTCATTTTGTTGATATGCAAAAAAAAAAAAGGAATTCCTACCAACCAACTCAAAAATTTTTTTGCCTTATTAATTCCCAGAGGAGAACTGGCATTTTATTAGTTGGGAAGTATAACATACTGCTCGTCCAGGGACACAGTTATTGTCCTTTGATTTTCGTTGTCTACAAATAGAGTCCTAGTGTAGACAGTGTATAACTTGCAAATTTTTTTCATACATCTCCCAAATTCATTTCTTTATAACTTAAAATAGTAAGTAGGGTGTGAAGAAATTGCATGTAAAAAAAAATTGGGGCATTAATGTTTAGGTAAAGTAGTGATTTGGTCCAGTTTAAAAAGGTCAAAAATTAATATGTCTGAAGCTGTTAAACTGAATTATAGACTCCCTTAACATAAAATTGTCCATATTTTGAGTTAGACCCGATAGATTTTTCTATAATTTTGATATGATTTGTCTTAAAGTAATACACTACACTAAAAAAAAAAATTGGATAGAGCAGGAGCATTTTTTTAATTCACGTATTTGGCTAAAAGAAATGCACTACGAAACAACTGTGTTCTTGGGACAACTAGGATGAGAGGGAATAACTATTCAGTATTTGTATTTCAGATGATGATGGTCAGAATCACAGAATCTTGTCAGTAATGGATACAAAGAATCTTTACATTGGTACACTTATGGCCAATATTCTAGAATTGTCTCTTGTTCAACAGTGTAGAGATCTGATCTGTATTTGTGCGTTAACACCACTGACAGGAAAACCAAGACGTCCAAAGTCAGTTACGTTTAAAGACCCTTCATATGCAGAGTAGGTTGTTCAAGTAATATGGAATTTAGAATTAAAGAAAAACTCCAAAGAATAAGAAATATTAGTCATAAGTATGATAATGTATTCAGGGTCTTAAATGTTTACATTTTCTGTATTATAGTTGTGATACTTTATTGTTTGCCTTGTTTTGACACAATTTAAGCAAGAGTAGCCTCCCTTTTGTTGCCATATTGGAGGCCTATGTGCACAGATTCCTTCATAAATCAGCAAAATTCAACTTGTTATTCTGACTGCTTGACTTTGGAAAAGTTGTTTTCCAAACAATTTAATTTTGTTTTAGCCTTGCGTAATTCTTCACTACAAGCTAGTAAGGATCTCTTATCAGCCTTGATTGTACCTCCAGTTCAATTTGGTTTGTCAAAAAATCAACCATTTACCCAAAATGGTGGCAAAGTGAAATAACTCATACTTAAATTGCATCTTATCTAAATCTTTCTCTAACAACAATTATTTATTGATCTGTCCATAACTTTTTTTTACATATACAACAATGTATGTTTTAATTCATTCAGGTACATGTAGTTTGATTCTACCAAAATCAAAAGAGAAGAAAGTTTTATACATTAGCAAATTGTGTCAGATAAACCCAAAGATTGGTCTGAAATAAACAAAGTAAATATTTGTTTTAGAAAAGCAGCAGGACTTGACCTAAGTGACCTTGGGATAAAGTACATGTATGATGGTATGCCTAAAGAAAATGAACCAGTCAAGATGAGGACTTGTTCTGTATGCAGATTACGAGGAACTAAAGAATTATTTAAAAAATGGTAGATATATCTTATGTCTGATATGCTTGCTATTAAAACAGATTAGAAAAGGGGAGTGAGGTTTATTGCAATCACTTTATATGTCCATATGGCAAATATTTACATCACACTTTCTCAAAAATGACAAAACAGAATGACTTCATACTTAGTTAGTTGCTTAACAGTGATCAGTTGTATTGCGTGAGCACTTTTTTTATTAGTCAGACACCTACTTCTTGTTTCCCCATACTTTGCAATTTTCAATATGTTGAATAAACTTCAAAAAATGTTCAGTCTTACTTTTCTCAAGTACTCCTTATAACTTCAAATGTAGTCAGTAGCTCAACAGTGATGAGCTGTAGTGAATGAGTGCTTTTTATACGACCGCGAAAAATTTTGCAGTCTTATATTGGTATCAAGTTGTCATCGACAGTTGGTTTCCAGACAATAACTTTAGTATAATTAAATAGAAATCTATGAAATTTAAACACAAGGTTTATAACCACAAAAGGAAGGTTGGGATTGATTTTGGGGGTTATATTCCTAACAGTTTAGGAATTAGGGGCCAAAAAGGGGCCCAAGTAAGCATTTTTCTAGTTTCCAGACAATAACTTGTGGAACGGTGTATGGATCTCTCTGAAATTATACCACAAGTTTCAATACCACAAAGGGATGGTTAGGATTTGCTTTGGGGGGTTATGGCTCAAACCGTTTAGGAATTAGGGGCAAAAAAGGGGGAAAAACAAGGGTTTCCTGGTTAATGGACAATTACTTAAGACAATTTAAAAGCAGTGTAAGGGAGGTAATCCAAACACAACGTTTTGATTACCTCTCTTACACTGCTTTTAAATTATGTATAAAAAAATATTGTATTTTCTTGAGATGATTAGCTGTCAATTTATTTTTAGAAGTTACTATTAAGGAATATTAATTTTAGCCATGATTATATATGTCATTTTCTATTTTAAGACTTTTCAGATGTATTTAAATGGGTAATTATGGTTGCAAACTCCATTGGAAATTTGAATTGAGATTATGACCATATCTTGAGGGAAAGAATTTTTTTGAGGGAAAAAAGGGGGGGGGGGGGGGGGGGAGTAAAAAGAAATTGTTAATTTTTTCTCATTTCAGATTTCAGAAATCAAAAAGAAAATTTCTTCAAATATTTTTTTTTTGCAAATTTGCAACAGCATAGTGTATTGCACAAAAGCAAAAAATTGAATATAAATTCAAATCATATAACCAATTCTTAGTTGTTTGACTACAGTTATTCTGTGTCAGAAACCTATTATGTGTCAAATATTTAATTACAATCCAAATTCAGACCTGTATCAAGCGCGAATATTGTGTCCACTTTTGCTCCAACTGTTCAGGGTTGGACCTCTGCGGTCGTATCCAGCTGTGCTCGGCGAAGCAATTTATTTTTATCTATCAGACAATGACTTATTTTATTTCAATACTTTGAATTACGAGTAGGGGTATGCTTAGATGACAATGCATGCATTCTTGTTTGTTTCTAGAGCTGTCTTTTTTTTTAAAAGTATTTTTCAAATTGAAAAATTGAAAAAATGTCTTGATAATTTGGGTAGTATGGTAGCCAGGTGTGTAGGCTGTTAGGCTGTTCTAACTTTTTCTGTGCAATAAGTTTACATAATGGTGGTCAAGTTCCATATTGACCATTTGTTCTTTTGCCTTTCAGGAGTTATGGTCCTTGATTGATTTGACGTTTCCGTGTGATAACTTGCAGTCAAGGATATAACTCTATAGGGTTATTAGAGAAAAATAACATACATTTGTTATTGTGGACTAAAAAATCAAAGAACTGTGATAACATATGTATGTTACATGTTTCAAAGGGACAATATACATCATTAGTTTTGTTAAAATGTATACAAGTTCTATTGATATTACTATTGTCTTTATGTATACTTAACTATAGAAAGATATAACAGTTCATAGTTTGCCAATCATGCATAGTACACCTATGTTATTACAGCAAAAATATGCCTGTAATAACTAAAGGGTGTTATTACAGCTTCTCTACATTACTCCAAAGCATTTGCTCAGACATACATCATGCTTAATTACGATGTATTTTAATTTATTGTAAGAAATAATGATCAGACCATGTAATGAGGTTCTACGCAAGCTTCCCAGTAATTCCCAAGTGTCTCATATAATAAGTTACATGCCTTTAATAACTAAGCCTTGTTATTACAGCTAAGTTTATCCCTTAAAAGCCTTGTCTCATTGATTTACCATGGTTAATGTAAAATGTATTAATTTAATTCTAAAATTAGTTATCAAGACTATGCATTTAGTTTCTGTGCAAAGTTTCAAGAGTTCCCTAGAGCCCACTAAAAATTAAATAACAAACATATGTTATTACAGATTTAGAAAATTTAAGGATTAAAGAGTAGACAACTCATGAAAGTATCTGTAATAACACATGCAAGATATTTTCTGTAATAACCCTATAGAGTTATATCCCTAACTGACTTGAGAACCTTTCAACAAATCCTTTTCAAATTTTACAAGTTCTTTCTCATGACAAAATGGACATCAACTTTGAGTCTGATGTTTTGATTTTTGCTAGTTAGAAGTTATTCCCCTGTATTGCTTTAACAATGACACTAATAAAATGTAAGCATGGTAAGCAATAAATCTTCTCTTTATCCTTTTATTTCATTGTTACATGTAATTCACCTTTTACCCACATCTTCTTCGATTATTATAATTGATTTACACATTTGTAATTATATTTAGATCTTTGCTCTGTTATTTGTTACTGACATTATTTAAATTATTACTGCTCTTCTTCTAGCTCATCATGCCAAGCTTTATTGTACTGTTCAAAAGATTGTCAGAAGAAGGATTGGACCAGAAAAGGTGATATGGGTCCTCATAGTCACAAAATCTGGTGTAAAAGGATGAAGATGTATATGTCAAAAACAGAAGAGATGAGACAGTTTCCTTTTACCTATGCACAAGGTAAATAGACTAAAAAGTACATGTAACAACTAGTGAAACAGTATGTCAATCATTCGAAATGTAGACTAGTTGATTACTCATTGGTCCTTATAGTATTATGAATTATCAACCTCAGAGATCGATACTGTTGCTTTCAGAACTAAAAATTATATATTTCTTAAATTGACCAGTATTGTCGAGCCTTCGACTTTTGTCGAAAAAGCGAGACATAGCGATCCTACATTCCGTCGGCGTCGTCGTCGTCGTCGTCGTTGTCGTCGGCGGCGTCCACAAATATTCACTCTGTGGTTAAAGTTTTTGAAATTTTAATAACTTTCTTAAACTATCCTGGATTTCTACCAAACTTGGACAGAAGCTTGTTTATGATCATAAGATTATATTCAAAAGTAAATTTTGTAAAAAAAAAATTCCATTTTTTCCGTATTTTACTTATAAATGGACTTAGTTTTTCTGCCAGGAAACATTACATTCACTCTGTGGTTTAAGTTTTTGAAATTTTAATAACTTTCTTAAACTATCCTGGATTTCTACCAAACTTGGAAAGAAGCTTGTTTATGATCATAAGATAGTATCCAGAAGTAAATTTTGTAAAAAAAAAATCCCATTTTTTCCGTATTTTACTTATAAATGGACTTAGTTTTTCTGCCAGTTAACATTACATTCACTCTGTGGTTAAAGTTTTTAAAATTTTAACAACTTTCTTAAACTATCCTGGATTTGTACCACACTTGGACAGAAGCTTGTTTATGATCAAAAGCTAGTATCTAGAAGGAAATTTTGATAAAATTTTGTTCCATTTTTTCCATATTTTACTTATAAATGGACTTAGTTTTTCTTCCAGTTAACTTTACATACAGTCTGCAGTTAAAGTTTTAAAAACATTTATTAGATTCAAAAACCATCCTGGATTTTTACCAAACTTGGACAGAAGCTACTTACAATCAAAATATAGTATAGAGAGGAATATTTTTATTAATTTTTTTCCTCATTTTTGTTGAGCCTGCGATTAACAGCAAAAGTAGGCGAGACACTGGGTTCCGCGGAACCCTTACGAATTTTGTGTAATGTAAATCTTCAGGACAGGAATGACCAGGGATCTCCATAACCTGTTTTATGATGGCGGCCCGCCACCGTTAAATTATCTTCTGCCATCTCCAAATGATACCCACCATTTTCAAAATTTGTTTTTGTTTTTTTCTAGCCGCCGCCATTTTTGTTAGCAATTATAATCAATTAACCCTTAGGCTTTTTGTATTATAATCCAAAGGGTACTCCTGATTATAGTTTTCAAGCCTTGAGGGATATCCGGCTAAAGATCACTAATCATTTGTACAGGTAGATCGACACACCTGACAGGAGAACTCTTTTCAAGATAGACGACTGATTGCATTATTTAAGTACGTTTTCAGCAAATGCAAATGGAAATTTAGATTAAAAAAAATAAATGTTTAAACCAGAAACAAAGAAAAAAGTTTAACAAGTCGAACACATGCTTATATTGACGACTTACGCAATCAGCATCCCCCTTTTTAAACGAGTACAAAATAAGACGTAAAACTGAACATAATTTCATGCCAAATAACATGAGCACAGCAATTATCGATAATATTTAATATCTTTACAAGTTTAAAAGTAAAAACATGAATATTAACTGCAACTTGATAATATCTGAAGAAATTTTGTATCATAATTCCGAATTCATTCCGTAGTTTACAATCAAATTGATACATCCATTCTTCTGGTTTAAGATGAATGTTGCATATATTATGAAATTAGTTATCTAAAGTCATTAAAAAGTTTTTACGTTGTAAACTTTTGCCCTCAAAATCTTTTCTTCAGCGTTTTACAAAACAAGTACGAAACTTCTGGTAGTTGATGCTGCAAATCATAGATACCGATTCATGACTTCTGACTTTGATGTAGTGAAATAAATTATTTTTATTAAATATCCAACAGATTTTTAAGCCCTATACAATTACCAAAATAGCAAAAAAACGTAGTGGGAACCCCAAGGACAGCTTGTGATCATTCTTGACTAAGGGGGAGCAGCAGGCTTGGCATTGGAATTGTTACAAATGACAATTAATGAAAATATTTGTTATTCTATAATGAAATAAATAAAATAAGCAATATATCAGCCTGTTCACCATTCCTTACATGGAAATGGAGGAATGAAATGTTTTCGATCACGTCACGCCGTAGACGCAGGATTTTGTCATGGTGAAAGTTCCTCTATCGTTAAATTTTCATCCATGGAGATCCCTGAATGACCTTTACAAATTGTATGCAATACCCTTGGGATATAATAGAATGGTCCATATTGTTACCAAATTTAGAATCTATGTGACTGAAAGTGAATATTAGATACATAATGATTTTTTCAAAACAGATGTGAACAAAACAAAATATTTTTTTAAGTAAAAGTGTAATTACAAGTTTAAAGGAACTATAAACAGTGGAACCATTTACAAGCCTTTTACTATAGTAATAATGAACCTGTAGGTATACACTTCTTCATAAAGAGGTGTTTCCAATTTCAATTTTATGAATGAACTGTCCCTTTAGGGTGGAACAAGTCATAGGACATTGTGATATGAAGATATTTGCTTTGTGCCATCAACCTTAACCTGGAAAAGCAGCAATACAAAGATCATGTATTGTATTAGGGCATGGTATTTATATTAAGTTCCATTCACAACTTGAGATATCTGTAGGAGATTCTGTGATTCCAAACTGTATCCTGTTCATCCGAATAGACCATTTGTTAAGTTACTAGAGTCTATAAATATGCAGCTCAGAATGTTAGTGTGCAGTTTTCTTAACTTTTATTCCAATCTAATGAGATTTGGTGATAGAAATTATTTAATCATAAAGACACAACAGAAACAGAGAAGATGATAATACTTATAGTTTAGTATTGATGGTGAAAATGTGACATTTTTTTTTGTAGAGACTACCTCAGAATATTTTGATATGGCAGCCTACAAGACGTTTCTTGAGAAACAAGGTGTTCTAGATCAGGGTTTATGGAGAAGAGAATGTAGATTACATGGGGACGAGACTAAGTGTTTCTGTTCAGTACCATTTGGTAATGTTGTTAACTTCTAATTTAACATGTTTTGCTTATAAAAAATATAAATGTATGTCACCTTTCACTGTTCAATTTTGTTTCATCTGAAAACACCTTAAATTATTTGTTAAATAAGCATCATTTAATAATTTTTTAATAATCTATTTTTTTAATATTTTGAATATAAAAATCATTTAATAATTCTTTTAGTATTTGTTTAATGACATTTTGAAAGGGGAAAGTAAATTAGATGTTGTACTTGAATTTATAGTTTTGTAAAATTTAGTTCAGATTTATATATTTCAATATTTTTATGTCTGCTCAGAAAAGAAGTAAAATGGTCAAATTGGTTATTGAGATGAGGAAAAAAAAGATGTCTTTCAAATTCAATTTTTGGCCAGCTAGAAGATGATTACAAATTATACTTCCATTGAAAATATTTGTTAATCATATGTTGTGTTCTATATTATTTTAAGCCTTTGTTCCCCAAACCATTATTTTTTTTTCATTTTACTGAAGTTACTGTGATTTCCATCATAAGGAGAAATTGTATCAAAATCATGTTTTATTGAAGTCCATAAATTCAATATTGAATGTTGCTAATTGTTAGAAATTAAAGATAATTTTAAGTAAGACAATTGGGTCTTAAATCATACCTTCACGTTTGATGATAAAATTTAGGGTTAGGCTTAATGTGCATTATGATTTTTAGGTGAAAAAAAAACATGAAAATATAATAATTAACAACTGCATTCAGAAAAATAAACATCATATTGATTTCTTAGATTTCAGTTGTATTCAATATTTACCAAAATACAATGGTGTACATGTAGTATAAATAAAAGAATTATTAGAAAAATAAAATAAAATATGGCTGACAGCACACCTATATTGAGAATTAGACTTGAAGATATAGATAGATATTAACTTTTTTTACACCAATATATTATTTCTGATTGATTTGTATGGTTGATGTTCCAAACAATCATTTTTTTTTTTTGTATTTCATTTAAGTAAATGGCTGTTGTTCCACCACATATATAACATAAAACATTTTCGGACTATTCATTTTATTCTAGGAGAGCTTCCAGAAAGTGAAGACCCAATATTTTTACCAGTGGAATCATCAATCCTAGATGAAGCTCCAGAAAAAGAAATCAAATTATTACATGATTGGGAGTCTTACTATGAATACCGAGGATTTCGATTGGATTCTCCAATAGCCATATTACTGCACTGGCCAATGACATTGTATCATATAATCAAATTCTGTTACCCTAATGACAGTAAGTTGTACAAAAGAAATGATGCTATGTTATTTTTGAACAGAAAAACAAATGTGAAAAAAACAGAAAAAAGGAGCTTTGAACACTGAAAACTTTTATTATAAAAAAGGGAACTGGGAAAAAAAGAAAAGGACCGGTAAATGTTTTTGGAAATAATCAATATGAAATGAATCAAGAATTAGTTACATTTGTACTTATAATCAATTAATCTTATTTTGAAAACACAGGTTGGAATTGTTGTCTAGCCGTGACGGAGTCCAAAAGGGAGACATAGGTATGCTGTTTCCGGCGGTGGCAGCGTCGTTGTCAACAATGTATAAGTTTGTGATTAGGTCTAGCTTATGGTGAACCACTAGTGGCAGGTAATTGATATTTGGTATGCAGTTGTATAAACATTGGCACATCTCATTTCCATGGAGATTATTTGGCCCTGCCCCCTCAATCATGGTCTATTGACTTTGAAACTTCTGCTTAGTTTACATGTATTAGTTTGTGATTAGGTAGGTTTATGGGGAACCACTAGTGGTAGGTCAATGATATGTGGTATGCAGTTTTGTAAGCATTGGCATATCTCATTTCCATGGCGATTATTTGGCTCCACCCCCTTAGTCATGGTCTATTGACTTCAAAACTTTGGCTTAGTTTACATGTATTAGTTTGTGATTAGGTCAGTTCAAGAGAAACCATTAAAGGTAGGCCAATGTTAATTGGTATGCAGTTGTATAAACATTTGCACGTCTCATTTTCATGGAGAATATTTGGCCCCGACCTGTCAGTCATGGTCTATTGACTTTGAAACTTTTGCTTAGTTTACAAGGTAATGTTTGTTTAGGTTTGTTTAAAGGGAACGACTTATTGAAACATTATTGAAAAAAAAGACAGATGCATGCAATTTATAAAATGTCAACGCCTTGGGAAGCCACATGTTTTAAAAGTTTTAAGTTTAGTTAACAAGTCCCCGATTTTGACTCATCTAGACAAAGTCATGGAACCTAGACTTTGGTCTGCTGTTTCTGATGGTGCATCAGCCATTGTTAAGTTTGTGATTAAGTGACTTTTACAGTAACCACTTATAATAATATTTGGCATGCAGTTATATTATCATGAACACATTTCATTTCCATAAATTGGTTCCTACCTCATGGTCAAGGTCCATTGACTTTGATGCATTTGCATAATAAAAAAGTGCATCAATTTAGATTTTAACATTAGCATTATGTCAATCACAGGCCATACATAACTCTGTTTATTTAGTTAAAAAGTTTGATTACTGTAAACCAACTTATTTTTGAGGATACTTTATTTCACGTTTAGTCCTTTCTAACTGATTTTGCTATGATTTATTTTCAGGATTTTTTATTTCTTTTATAAAAATGTAATTTATATAATGGAAGTTTTAGATATTCGCGATGATTTATATTTGTGTTAATTATCTACTAATGGAAGTAATTCTTTTGATGAGAAATTATATATTGCACCAAAACATTTGTATTGTCTATATGTATATTCTTTTAAACAATTTTCACAGATCCTGAATGGTGGGACAGTGTAGATTCCAGCTGTTTAAAGTTGGACCTTATTGGTGTTGAGAAAGAAGTGGAAATGTTATGTCTGTTCAAGGTAAAAGAGTTTCTATAAATGATGGCTATATATTAAATCGTAATCCAGTCATCAGGGAAGGTACATGAGGAGGCCAATTTAAATCTGCTATCACTTATGATAGTCTACTGTTTATTATAACAAAAGAATCTTATCTTTTGAAACTGATGGGGTAGTTATTGATCAAATATAGTGGGTCATTTATTATTTATATTGATACTTGTTTGAGGGGCTGAAGGACCTTTTTTCTGGACGTCTGAATTGGTCCTTTATTTTTGTGGGAACTTAGGATTTACACTTATATTGTTTTCTTGTATATATTGTTTTTTATTCAAACTATTTTTACTCTCACTTTACCATGTTTATACCCCCATTATAATTATGATCCTTTTCATATGAAAAGTAAAATGCCTTATTACAGCATAAATGTTTGAGATGGTAAAGGAAACTGAAAGTATAAGGAAAATCACCAATACTTTGAATTCAGAAATTATCATGTGTATTATAAGTTTTGATAGTTGGTAAAAATAAAAAAATAAAGTGCCATTAGTTTATACCATGGCAGAAAATGATGAATAAAATTATGTGATCAGAATTTAGAAATATAAATCCTGTTGCATTTTACAATAATCAGATCATGGCAATAAAAAATCATAATTCACATTTATAATTGTTAAGGATCATGCAATAGAGATGTTCAGACTAAACCTCTCTATACGTATCATGTCACCATTGTAGTGACTTTTCCTTGATTTTACCACCACCAAATCATGCCCGGTCGAAAAAGAACATACTGGAAAGTAGTACATATTTAAAACAAAATAGTTCCCACACATAGATGTAAATATCGAAACATGTATTCTTTTCTGTTACAGGAACTTGGATATTTATGTCCTGATATTTCTATTGACATTATAATGTATGGTGTAGAGATTTCTAAAGATGTACACAACAGGACATATGAACATAATAATGTTAAGATACAGATTGTTAAAGGGCCATATCATAAACGTGCTGATGAACACAGAAAACCTCATTTGGTTGTAGGTAAGGGCAAAGAATTAAGTAGTTAAAATTTGTGAAACATATGACATAATATAGTACAAAAACATATGTTGCCTGTAGCTACGATACTGAAACCAAGCATTTTACTGACACAGATGTTAACACTGTAATTATAAAAACCTAACAATTATCATCAGACATTTAAAGATAGACAAACTGAAACACCTATCTGAAGGGAAGCTAATATATAGAAACTTAAAATATACTTCATTTGTATGCTAACTTAGTTAAAGAAATAAACCACCAAATGGGTAATTTATATTAATACTAATATACAAATCTGAACAATGGGGAGCTAAGATACAGAAAATCACACTTTTCTGGAGTTGAATCTGTAGATATATAAACCAAACACTCATCCTAGGAGTGGCTTTAATAAAGAAATGTACAAGTTTGTTAAACTAAGAATGGGATTGAACTTGTCTGTGAGTGCCAATGTAGATTTTACCATTATTGGTGAAATTGTTTATGCTGTAACAGACTCAAATAGTGATTACCTAGGTCATTAGAGTAAACACTAATAGGCAAGTCAAGTTATCTCAACTTCAACTCTGAACATACATTTAACAACCACTGTTTGTTGGTCTACCCTGATGTGTCGATCCTGTTTCTGTTACATAAAAATGAAAATGATTTGGAAGCTCATGAATGCAAAAATTTTACATTTAGGCAATGCCTCTGACAATTTAAATGAGAGGAATACATCTGCATTTCAGGTTTAAATGCTGGATTAGGTGCATACCAAATGTGGGGTCAGACACTTGTCAAACTCAGGGTAAGTAACAGTTCAAAGGCTATGAAATGTTTGTTTAATTGAATCACAACTTTTGTGTTCTTCCTGACTTAGATAAAATAAGACTACACATAACAGCCAATGATCAAGAATACAGTTGATTTGACAGAATCTCATTTAAATGAAGAATATAATGTGATTTTATTTTAGTATTACAACTATTTTTTTAAAAATACAAATTAAATTTATTTCTTGATTAAATTTTTTTAAACATTGCATTATAAGGGGTATTTATTCAGATACGCAGATAATTAAGAGTTTATAAAATGAGGAGACAATAATTGTAGAAATGCACATCTGGTGCAGTCAAATAGATAAGTTAATTTTTTTATAAAGAATGTACAGTGAATTTTCTATTTTGTTAACTAAAATGGTACAGTTACTCAATTTTAAGGATGTTTGCTTCTCTTGTTTTTGAATTTTTGCCAGATTTTCGGAATCCTCTGGTTTTATCCATATATAGCCATTAAAAATTTTTGCCCACTAACCCCTACTTTTCTTTTCACAATTTTATTACATATAGTTTTAAAAGCCATATTTAAAAATCTTATAAAATCTTTGTTATTTTTTCATAGTTTTTGAAACAAAAAAGCGGCCAATGTTAAAAGTATGAAAAATCTAGAGATAATCATTTCCCGCCAAATTTTCAATAGCTTATATCTCGAAAACAAGCACACGGACCCTTCATTTTTTTCAGCTTTTTAAGTTCCTTTATTTATATACTATCATTTTAGAACAGTCTTTTAAAAATCTTGTTATTTTGAAACAGAGCAGCAAACATCCTTAACTACCATGGCCTGTATTCTCTACATATTTTATTTCAGACTGATAGGACTCCAGCCTATTTTACAGACTACTGCCAATACAGCTGTGAATGTGCTAGAACAGCTGTTGAAGGGTTAACATTTGGGACAATATCAGACCCTGTAGTTAACCCCTTCAGGAACCCTGTAAGAAAGTTAGCAGAAGAAAATGACATGCCTTGGTACAGTAATGGATTTTTGTATAGGATTATTTACCCTTCAAAGTGAAACAATTCTGACTTAACTGGTTCTTGTTTCAATTGAAGAATCATTTTTGACTTAACATGCACTTGTTAAAACCAGTGATAAAAAACTAGTCAAATTTATTGTTGATGGTATATATTTTAAACATTTACTTGAAGAGTTCATGTGAACTGTTCCTAGTAGAATTGACAACAAAAGCATATTTTTTTTTGAGGGCTAGCAGCTTCCAAATGAGGTTTTGACTTCCTTTAACTTTGCACTTGTTTTAGTTAAGGAAACTTGTTTTAAGTTTAGGAAAATTAATGTTTACTTTATTCTCAATGTCATACTTAAATCAAGAGATTTATTCATTCAAAAGAACTTCGAAAGATCATAACATTCGTAGATTTCTTTTTTGGCTAAAATGTCTTATTATTATAGGCAATATGAAGTAAAGTTTAGATGTACTACCTCAAGCATTTTAAACAGTGGAAATGTTTAATAAAAAAGCAGTTGGATGTAGTGTATTTATATATTATAAAAACTTGAAAATTCCCTGTAATCCTATTAATTCAGTTTGATTGTAACTATAAACATTTGAACAAGCAAAATTTTTCATTTGTCTTTTGCTGAGACCATAATTTAACATCTAGATATCTCGAAGGGCCCCATGTGAGCTTATGCCATCACTTGGCGTCCGTCGTCGTAGTCGTCTGTCATCGTAAACTATTTAAAAAATCTTCTCCTCTGAAACTACTGGGCCAAATACCTTCAAACTTTAATTAAATGTTCCTTAGGGTATCTTGTTTATAAATTGTATCCGAAGTTTTGATCCATCAACAAACATGGCCGCCATTGCTAAAAATAGAACATAGGGGTCAAATGCAGTTTTTGGCTTATATCTCAAAAACTATGGCTTTTTGAGCAAATCTGACATAGGGGAAAATTGTTCAATTGGTCAAGATCTATCAGCTCTGAAATTTTCAGACGAATCGAACAACCCATTGTTGGGTTGCTGCCACCGAATTGGTAGTTTTAACAAAATTTTGCAGTTTTTTGTTATTATTTTGAATATTATTATAGATATATATAAACTGTTAGCAGCAATAATGTTCAGCAAAGTAAGATCTACAAAAAAGTTAATATGACCATAATTGTCAATTGACCTTTTAAGGAGTTATTGCCCTTTAAAGACAATTTTACACAATTTGTTCATCAAGTTTGCTAACATTTAAAAATCTTCTCTGAAACTACTAGGCCAATTACCTTCAAACTTAAATAAAAGTTCCTTAGGGTATCTTGTTTATAAATTGTATCCGAAGTTTGTATCCATCGACAAACATGGCCGCCATGGCTAAAAATAGAACATAAGGGTCAAATGCAGTTTTTGGCTTATATCTCAAAAACTAAATCTTTTAGAGCAAATGTGACATGGGGTAAAATTGTTTAATTGGTCAAGATCTATTGGCCCTGAAATTATCAGACGAATCGAACAACCCATTGTTGGGTTGCTGCCACCAAATTGGTAGTTTTAACAAAATTTTGCAGTTTTTTGTTATTATTTTGAATATTATTATAGATATATATAAACTGTAAGCAGCAATAATGTTCAGCAAAGTAAGAACTGCAAAAAAGTTAATATGACCAAAATTGTCAATTGACCCCTTAAAGAGTAATTGCCCTTTAAAGACAATTTTACACAATTTGTTCATCAAGTTTGCTAACATTTAAAAATCTTCTCATCTGAAATACAGGTGAGCGATTCAGGCTCTTGGGAGCCTCTTGTTTCTTATACTAATTAAAGAAGATAGTTCATGGTTTTTTTTATGGGAACATAACATACAGCTAAAGAACACTAATCATATCTTCTCTTCATGCTAATGATTTGTATTTATTTAAGTTCTGTTTTTAACCTGTGATGACATTTTAAGGACTTGGAACCTTCTTAGATTGAAAATTAAAGTTAATATTATTGATAATGCTGTTTTTTGTATAAAAAAGCTTGTTTTTGAAAATTTTGTAACAATGTACATGTTGTGGTTTGCCATATAGAAGATCAGCTTTGATTATACATTGTAACTTTGTAAAAATTCAAATATGTACTTTTTATTACTGTTTATGATTTTCAGAACTATGTTGATTGTTAGTTGTAAATTTCTTGTTATTAAAGTTGAGTTTTTTTCTTTTTTACTTAACTTTTAATGCAAGATTATACCTACCACTGAGTAGAAACAACAAATTGTACTGCAACTGTACTATTTGTGCAGTCAAAATGTGTTGACTTATTACCATTAGCTTTATATAGTCACTGACTGTTATTCTATATAATATAAGTTCTGATTGAACAATGGACTGGACATATATTTACAATTTGTTGGTAATCCCCTAACATCTATAGTTCTATTTTAGAGTCATATCATATTTACATCACATATGTCCACCATTAATCAAACTGTTTTCCACACAATTTTAATGGCAGCTGTGTATTACAAAGTATTGTCTCAGTATTTTAGATCGTTGATTACCCCACTTAAAGCATGAAGAACCCACTTGTGATAGCAAAGTTCTTTAAATTGTTACTAATGTTGAGAACAAAAGCTTGTATGGTCTTGTGGTTGTCAATTTTTTTTGCCTATCTTACATAAAAGCTTGACAAGCCTCATATACAAATGGTAGCTTATAAATAAAACTATGTCCTCAGTTTTTGATATGCAAGACATTGGAATGCTATAATGTTTTATTGTCTAGAAAAGACCTGTGTGTTTTATACATTGTTAACAGATTCCTTTTATTACAAAGTTTCTGTCTGGCATATTACCATTGTCCTTGACCTCATTGAGAGAGTTAAGAGAGTGCCTAAAACAATATAGTTTATTTGTCACACGAATTTCTCACCCATTTGGTATAAATATGATCCTTGCAAGGTATATATCTAAGCCAGATTTCGCCTGTCCTTGACATCATTTTATGAACCATAGTTCAAGGTTAAAGTTTTATGATCAAGTATGTATCTCGAAATACTATAAGCAGTATGTAACTAAATTTGGTGTATAGAATGATTGTTACCCGAACGTGTTTGTCTGGGAAGTTTCATCGAACCTTGGTCTCATTTTTCATGATTCATTGGCCAATGTAAAGGTTATATTGTTTGGTGTTTTTTTAGATACCATGAGTAATATGTCAAACTATATTTGATGAATATAATGATTATGTGTTATACATGTCCTTCTGGTTAATTTTATTTGACCTTGACCTCATTTTCATGGTTTCTTGGTAATGTTTAGTATTGTGGTTATGTCTGTTTCTCAGACAATAAACAATGGCAAACTATAATTGGTGTATGGAATGATTGTAAACTGTATATGCTGGCGTTGCAGGGTTCACCTGACCTTCACCTCATATTCATGGTTCATTGGTCAATGCATTTTCTTCCGTGTTAAGTCTGTTTCTAAGATGCTATATAAATTGCAAGTGTGCATGTCTGCCAGGCAGGCTCATCTGACCTTGACCTCATTTTAATGGGGCATTGATCAATGTTAACTTTTCATGGTTAGAAATTTTTGTAAGATACTATAAGCATTAGTTTATTATATTTGATGTGTAAGAATTGATTGTATAGTGTACATGTCTGTCTGACAGGGTTCATCTGACCGTGACATAATTTTCATGGTTAAGTAGTAAATTTAAGTTACCATAGTTAGGTCTGTTTCTCACACACCATAAGTTTTAGGGTTTCTTTATTTGGTGTATGAAGTTATTGTGTGATTTAACATGTCTCCTCACCAATAAAAACTGGCTGCCTCGAAATAGCCCAAAAGCGGTGAATAAAAGCGGCTTTAAAACACCAAAAATAAATAAAATAAATAACATGTTTCCTTGTCAGATTTCATCTGACCTTTACCTCATTTTAAGTTTTCGTGTTTATGTCTCTTCCTAGGGTACTATAAGCAATTAATGGTTTACTTTATTTGGACACTAAATGTATATCTAGATCATAATCTAAAGCAACCACAAAAAAAATTCAAGACACTTTGGTTTCAGAATTCAGATTTAGCAAGTCTAGCACTGACAGATTTAAAACGATCTTTGACATATTTTCATAACTTGAGACTTTCAAAGATACAAAGGTAACAGCTACTAAAAAGACAATGGTTAAAACTTTCAAAGATACTAAAAGGTTAACAGATTCTTATAACGCTATGATTGAATAATGATTTCATAAACATTACATGTAGTAACATAGTATTACGAACAAATGCATGTAGCTGTTCCTGGAATAGCCTAAATTCCGTGCAAGTGCAGAAACAGTTCTTTTGAAATCCATGATTGTTTTGCGAAAAACCTCATTTTCGAGCCAAATCACTTAATGACCTTTGCAAAACAATCACTTGTGATCTCAGCTGACAACAGTTTTCCATAAAAGTAGTGTACACATGCATGTATATAAGGTTTTGAAAGAAAATTAATTGGGGTGCATTATACTTTTAAAACTTTGACTTAGAGGTACATGATTACCGAATCTATAAAAGTTAAATGACACAATCTTTTGACAACATAGGTGTGTTTGTGCAAAACGTAGAATTAAGGCAGATAATGAGTAAGCATTATCAATACTGAAAAATTAAGAAAGAAAATACCACTTGTAAAGAATCAAATGCAATCTGCTTCACTTAAAACTACCTAATTGAAATCAATGAAAGTTATCGGTAATAGAGTTTTATTTTGCAACCGAGCTGAAGTAATTTCACTGTATTCAGACTCATTGATTGGTTGTTGATGTTTAATGTTATGTCAACACTCATATCATGGCGGCCAGTTTGTGTTGGGGGATGCCATAGTACCGCCGAAACAGGAAAATTGTAAAATCTAGCCATTTAAGATCGAAGACGAACGCAACTAAATTCAACCAGGTCGTTCAAAAGAATTGAGTTTCGTAGTGGGTTGAATTGAGGTCACAACTTAATTTATCGGAATTCGCAACAGTGTTTTTTGAACAAAAATTTCAATGTTTTACGAGTTTTGCACATCTAATACTTGTTATCAAACATTGGCCACGATCACAGACATATGTGGACTAATTATTGTCAATTTCTGTCAAAATTGTAACATCTTTATAATGTAATTCGAAACCTAGGATTAACAATATGTAGGACTTTGATCTAGACGTTATCATTGCTTCAAAACTGATAAATAAAATTTGTTTACATCAGAAAATTTCAGCAAGAAAGACATGTAAATTTTCAACACCAGATTGCTGTGTCACATACGCTTCTTTATTTGAACATGTTTGATAGTTGCATTTATCCGCCACTTTGTGATAGGGTAATCAATTGTCAGTTAACTACTTTTCTATAGTTAATAATTCAGAGTAGGAGTATGGTGCATTAAGGGACTATTTTACTATAAGAAGAGGTTTAATGAACTGTTATTTCGTCCTGAATTGCAAATTGAGTAAAATTATAATTTGATCACTTCAAGGTATCGGTAGCCTGTATGAGCAGAAATGCTTCAGTGATCGTTGTATTAGAATTATTTACCTTTGTATATTTTACGTTTTTTGTATACAATGCGTCGCAATTGGTTTTTAATGGCTGAATAGTTGCTACATTTATCATTTTCACCAGCTAGTTGTATTCATTTTTTTCTTCAGAAAATGCCGAGAGAACACTTGAGTATGAAAACTAGCTATAGGTGATATTTAAATAGTAATTTGTAAAAGTTAAATACCTTACATTGTTATGAGATATTAGTTCAGAAAATTTTAAAATTTCAAAATAATGTGAAAAATGTACATACTTTTAGCAACTATTATGAATGAGGAGAATTATAATTTAAAATATTCAGCAGTGTTGCATACATGATGACCCCACTGAATAGTTCAAGGAAGTTCAATGGACTTCAGGTAAACAACATTGACCTTGGTTTATCTGGACATACTGTCCTTCTATCTTACATAATACATTATGATACAATACACACAACGATAAGTCTTTATATAAACATTTGTCACTAGAAAATTTGATGACGTCTTCGTTGCTGCTATCAGTTTGACTTTTAGCCTTCAAGGGTGTCATAAGGGTAAAATAAAACTTTTGTTTTACATATAAAATAAAAATCGTTATGATAGCAAGCGAACAACAATCCTTCAGATTTCAAATGACTTGAATTTAACCAAAAATAGGATACCGTACGGCTTTTAATAATTAGCAAAATTCATAGATATAGTAACAGTATTTGGTAAAACTTTTCGGAATTTTAGGTCCTGAATGCTACTGCCGGTGGCGGTTCTTTTCTTAGGGTATTACCATCCCAGTAGTCAGCACTTCTGTGTTGACACGAATTATCATTGATATGGTCATAACTATAAATCAACTGTTTACAGAACTTTGAATTTTCCAAATAATAAGGATTTTCCTGGTATCGATGATGAGTTTATAGCCAGAAAAAGACAATATAAATTAAATGACATAACATAAGTCATTTTTATCATTATGTATATATTGTGTTAACTTTTTTTTAATTTTTTTATTTCCTTTCCTCTGCGCCTGTAAAAGCGGGAGGTTTGGCTAGCCACAAAACCAGGTTCAACCCACCATTGTTTTCTTAAAATGTCCTGTACCAAGTCAGGAAAATGGCCATTGTTATATTATAGTTCGTTTCTGTGTGTGTTACATTTTAATGTTGTGTTTCTGTTGTGTTGTAGTTCTCTTATATTTGATGTGTTTCCCTCAGTTTTAGTTTGTAACCCGGATTTGTTTTTTTTTCTCAATCGATTTATGAATTTCGAACAGCGGTATACTGCTGTTGCCTTTACATATTCGTTTATATGTCAGGCAAAGAGGAGAGGCTGTGGAAAACATATTTACTGTCGAATCTGTAGCAACGTCTTCTTCTAAAGATATTACAAATATTTGTCAAAGTTGTAAACTAGCACTGGTATACTAATTTTGATTTGAAACGGTCATTTTAATCTGAACAGCTCTTAAAAGACTGAACAATAAATCCTTAAGTCATTCTCAGTCTTTCAGTCAATTTTTAAGACTCATATACTGCGGTGAATTCAATACTGCTCAGAACAGTCCTGAATTCACTGCAGTACAACTTCAAACAATTCGCTTGCAGTCAATTTAAAAGATATGTTCAGACAGTTCATAGTTGTTATTTACCTGTACATATCAAC